CAGAGAGCCCACACATGGGGATAAAAAGTCATGGATGTACCAGGTTTGGTCTTAMAGTGTGTGGTGTACTGTCACACAACAAGAGACAACACAACACACACACAGATTCATGAACATTCAGATGTCAGGCAGGAGATCACACAAGAACTCAGATGTCATTAAAAATCTCCTGACCTCCAGAGAGATGTGAGTTCTGAGGAAATAACAWTAGAGATGATGAAGAAACTGATTGTTTGTGGATTATTTTTACCAGTCTGAGCTGATCTTAACCAACCACACACAGCTGGAATATCTGCTCAGATTATCTTTAGAGCCATCATGATAATCTGAGTGTCTGATTGTCAGAAGGACARAGTTCAGCACATTTATCCTGCGGTGTGAACCCAGCATTACTCTGACAACTTTTSTCTCACTCCCATTACTTCATCTTGCATTTCAAAGCTCTAGAACCTTCTTGAGATCCAACAGTGCAAAATGTGATTGTTGACATTTTTCAATCTTAAAATTTTGATCAGGACTGTATTAGTCAGAACTCTCTGCACTGTAGTCCACTTCCTGCTTCTCTGGTCCGCTTGGCATTCACACATGCAACCGAACCACACCAGAGTTGACTTTAACCAAACTCAGACCTAGGTTTAAAGGCTGACCAGAGGTCACTTTTGGTCCACATCAGAGCTTGATGATGCTTTCACACTTCCCCAAATGAACCAGACTTCCTAAACAAACCAGAGTTTGGTTAAATCAGACTAAACAGGGTTGGTGTGAATGTAAAGAGACTTTTTACAAAAAGAGACRGGTGCTAAATGCCTTCCTTCAAAAACTTCATGTGTTAATTATAAGTAATTACACAACCCTGTATTTCACTGCTGTAAGGTTGAAGGGTTGTTGGGACAGAGAAGAGCTGATTTGTAAAGTGAGGGACTTCTGAAATGTTGAAAAGTTCTTACCATTGTAGGGCTTTTGGGTATATTCTAAAATGGATAATTTGTGAATTATTTAAATACACAAATTATATTACCTCGAGGCACCACGC